ATTATTGCCCTCAGTGGAGTGTTGTGGCATCATAGCTCACAGCAACCTCAAACTCTTGGGCTCAAGTGATTCTCTTGCCTCAGACTCCCCAGTAGCTGGGACTATAGGCACCTGCCATAATTCCAGGCTATTTTTAGAGGTGGGGTCTTGCTCTGGCTCAGGCTGGTCTTAAACCCAGGAGCTCAGGCAATCTGCCTGCCTCAGCCTCCTCTTTGCTCAGTGAAACAGGGAGCCAGGTCATCTGCTGAGAGTGAAGATGGAAAGAGTTTAACTGGGAAAAGAAAGGATACTAAAGAGTGTTTAGGAAGGTAGGGAGGGAGGCAGTAAGCTTGGGCGGGGTAGATGAACTTAGAGTGAGATCAGTTTTCTTGTCTATTTTTCCATCACACTCGACTGTGTAGGCACAGAGGCAGGAAGGCAGGGGTCGGGTTTAATGGGCATTGAGGTTTTGCCATCCAAGCATGACAGAAACAAGCAAGAGCCAGAGGAGGGGTAGGTGGACCTGAGGGAGTGACCAGAATGTTCAGGGTTGAATTTCAGCTGCAGGAGCTGAGAAGTGGACTGAGAGAGGCGCAGGGGAAGCTGGTAGGAGCCAGTGGCTACAGATCCCCATGGTCACAAAGAACTTCTGGAGTTTGGGATACAAGAGTTAGCTGAAAAAACAGATGCTGTCCAAGGAATGAAATACTTCAAACTGAGGTCGTGGAAGAGGTGCCTGATCAGCAGGGACAGGTTGAGGGGTGGTCTGGGAATGTTGAGCATCTGAGTGAGGGCTCAGGACCGGATGACTGGAGACGCAGGGGTCGTGTGAGAGGTCAGGGTGTTAGGAAGATGACCACGTGCACACTGAGATTTTCCAGAATTGCCACGGGAGCCAACTTGGAGAGAGAGAGTTATGGTGAGCTAAGAACTGAAGATTTGAGAAGAGAGAGAGAAAGGGAGGAAAAGAGAGAGACAGAGTAGTAGCTGGCTGCAAAAGGATAAGCAGAGCCAAATGGATCGAAATGGAAAGCTGGAGGTTATAGAAGGAGAAAGGGAAAATGCCGCCACCAAGTCACAGCAGAGCAATGATGCTTGATGGGGCAGGGGCCTGGTACCTAAAACTTCTGAGGGAGCCGCAGGGAGGGAGTGTCCTCAGGTGCGAGCCAGGTTCTGGGTGCCCCAGAAATAGGGGTGGGGCAGCTGAGGATGCGTTAGGCTCCATTTCTCTCCCTTTGCAGTCTGTCTGTCTGTCTGTCTGTCTGAAGGGTGAGGGTGGAGGGAAGAGCTGGATGTGGGCACTGGGGCCCAGCCCAGAGGGCTGGCAGGGGAGTCAGGCATTCTTTAAAGATGGATACTCACAGGATCTCTCGGTCAGGGTATTGATACCCCAGTGAAGCATGACAAAACCCAGTGGCTCCCACTCAGGTGTCTGCAGAAGCTCCAGAGAGGAGGTAGAGTTCAGCTCCTGTCACTCCTCCCAGGGAGGGCCGCAGCCCCATCAGGAGTTGGGGAAACTCTCAGGATGTCACCGGATGTTTGAGGCAACTTCTATTAGGTGATAAAACAAAATCTGTATATGAATGTATGTTAAAAGTATCCCAGACACATCATTTTTGTCTAACTTGGCTTTTCATTTAGTAAAAAAATTATGAGTAGGTGGTCCCTGTGGCTCAAAAGGGTAGGGTGCCGGCCCCATATGCCAGAGGTGGCAAGTTCAAACCTAGCCCCAGCCAAAAAAAAGTCATGAGTAATGCTCTGCTCTTTCTCTCTTAGAAACTTTGTAAATAAATAGGATACAAAGTAAATTGTAAATATTAAGTGTTGCACTAAAACATTTATTTTAAATACTATTTACACTTCCTCAATAGGTTGAACTAGTAGTAACAAAGTAGACACTAAAATAATAGGATACAAAGTAAATTGCAAATATTAAGTGTTGCACTGAAACATTTTTGATTTTAAATACTATTTACACTCCGTCAATATATTGAACTAGTACTGTGTTTCCCCCAAAATAAAACACTGTCTTATATTTATTTTTTCTCCAGAAGACACATAAGGGCTTATTTTCAAGGGATATCTTCCTCTCTGCCCAAAGTATATGGCCTGGCCCATCTGCATAGCCACACCCATCACTAGGTCTTATTATCGGGATAGGGCTTATATTTAACAAATACATAGAAATACTGCTAGGGCTTATTTTGGGGATAGGTCTTATTTGCAGGGAAACACGGTAGTAACAAAGTTGACACTAAAATAAGTATAACACTCGCTTAGAAAGTGAAGGGACAAAACCTGCACAGATGCTGGTTAATTCCTGAGCTCATTCCCATACCACAGAGATGCCTCTAACTTCTTTCTCTGTGATTCCCTTCTGTGTTCATTGATCTTTAATAGGCATCTTGGTTTTTGAGTTGTGAATTAAAAATAAAGCATTAAATACTATAAAACACAACTTTCCTAAATAAAAGTAAAGTTAAAACTTCTTAGAATTTAAAATAATACATTTACCTTAGTTTACTGGCCCCTTCTCTGATTTGTGTTGATGATTCATGTTCATAAAGTACCTTTCAACACCCACCTGCATGTCCAAACTCCTTGACAAAGACATTATCACATGGCAGGAAAGTAGAGTCACTCTGAAGTTCCAGGTGACCCCCAAAGGAATGAGGTGTGATCACTGGAATCCATAAGGTTTGGAGAGCCTGTGGAACAGTTACAGTGCAGAAATACCTCCACTTACACTAGCTTTTCTCCACCTTGGGTTTTATAATAAGAATTTTAAGGAAATATCTTTCATTCAACCAATAAAAATATATTGAATGCCTTCTACTACTATTGTGCTGGTATTGGATAAAACCATAAAGAGGGACGTCACAGGTGCCAGTCATGATCATTGATGGAAACAAACTTAGTTGAGATGTGCCTGCTCTAGACGAGAAGCCGCCACAGAACCCTGAAACTGAGGCTGCAAGGTCACAGCTGCTGAATGTGCCGGCACCATGGGCACATGGAGGGGCATCAATGGAGAGGGAGGCACCTGCTCAATGACCCCGACGGGAGTAAAGCTGGCTTTGTTCAAGCCACTGAATAATGCGACTGGGAAATAGTAAGAGGGACAGTGATGACTACAAAGCCATCTCGACCGCGTAGGCCACAGTGAGGAGTTTGGGTTTTATTCTAAGCTCACTGGGAAATCCATGAAGGTTTGGGCAGAGGCCTGGCATTGTCCAAATTTCAACCTGAGAACATCAGTCTTGTTGCCATATGGACATGGTCTGGGTTAAGACGGTTGGCAGAGGAAAGGGAGGAGCATCCAGAAATAATGTTAAAGGGCTTGGGGGTTGAACGGCTGGGGGTCAGGGAAACAAAGGAGTGATAATGTGCTATTCTGCTGAAAGGATCAAAATGGTGGGAAGGTGCGAACAGAGGCCCCGGGTCTGGGATTCAGTTCTCAATATGTCTGATGTGTCTCAAGCCTTGAGATGATAAGTCAGGATTTAGGTGTGTGAGTTGGAGCTCAGAGGAGGTGGAGGTCAGAGGTCAGAGATGGAGAGATAAAGTGGGGCCACCAG